GTGGGCAGAGGGAAGACTTCCTGTGAGAGTGGACAGGGGAGGGAGGACTTCCTGTGAGGGTGACTAAGGGAGGGAGGACTTCCTGTGAGCGTGGGCAGGGGAGGGAAAGAGGCGGGAGAGGACGAAGAGCTCTACAGCACGCACACCTGGAGGGGAGCAGGGCCAGGCGAGCGGAACCCCGCGACCAACCCAAGTGGAGGAATAGAGCCAGAAGCGAAGGCCGCGCACCTGGTGTGTGACGATGGTCACGCGAGGGTTGTCCAGGTTCAGCCAGGACGGAATCTGGCCGTTGGTGACGATGAAGATGTTGCGGACCCAGGGCGCGTGCCTCTCGATGGAGCGCAGCGAGTACCTCAGCTCCTCGTTGTCCTCGAAGCGGCTGGCGGACACATCTTCGTCCTGCTTGGACTGAGCAACACCGGAGCCTTAGGCCTCGCCCTCTCCTCCCGTGCTCTGGCTAGACAGGAGCCTGAGGCAGGAGGACTGCCTGGGCTTCCAGCACCCTTGCCTGTGTCCCAAGCGAAGGGCGGCTGCCCGCCCCGCGCCACACCTGGCTGATGGCACCGAGGTCCCAGAGCAGGTAGGCGGGGCTGAGCGTCAGCTCCTTGCCATCGATGGTCATGTTCTTCTTCGTCTGCTTGTTCAGCTCCTGGAAGCCCTTGGGGTTGTTCAGTTGCAGCAGCGCCACGCTGGCCTCGGAGTAGAGCTGCAACTGTCAAGGCAGAGGCGTCACAAACAGAGACCAGCCCTCCGGAGAAGCTGCCCCCCAGGTCCACGCTGGGAGGCTGAGGCAGGAGGTTGCGTACTGTGTTGAGCTGACAGGCACGCGCCACCACACCAAGGGATTCGTCTGTCTTTAACTGCCTTCAAGTCAAACAAAACACATGTGCTGGCCAACAGCAGTAACTTCTGTCCTGGGGTCTGACCTGTCTGCTTGCACCACGGGGCAGCCCGAGGGCTTTCCCGAAACCACCTTTGGGCCAGAGCTGCCGAGAGGGGCAGCGCAACCAGGCACGCCCACCCTGCCTGGCTGCACTCCGACCCGGGCCGAGGCTCCGTGGACAGCGTCCTGCTGTCAGCGACCTTCACCTCCATTCTTTTCCTCCCAGCTTCTCCACGGCCAGGCCTCCACACCCACCCTAGGACCCTCAGCATGATCAGAGATGTGGCGGCCCAGCGCGTGGGTGACCGAACCCACAGCAGGCACAGAGGGGCGGGGCTAGAACCAGAGCCTCGAGACCCAGGCTGAGGGGCTAGAAGCCTGAGAGAAAACCAGGGTTTTGGGAAGAGGCCTTGAAACCTTTCTGTATTCCAAAAGCCAGGCCAAGTGGTGCACACCTGCAATCCCAGCACTCGAAGGCTGAGGCAGGAGGATCTCAGGGAGTTGAGGCCAGCCTGGACTACACAGCAAAACCCTGTCTCAAAAATAAAGAAATAAATATCTCAAAAACAAAATGCCAGGTGTGGTCGCACATGCGGGTCCCAAGCCAGACTTGGCTCCAGAATGGGACCCTGGCACAAACGAAAACAGCAAAACACAGTCAGCCCAAAGAATCAGGGCCTCTCCAGGCACAGCTTTACATGCCTAACAGTGAGGCGCAAGCTGCTTCCCTGCCCCAGAGCGTCCGTGGTCTAGGGCTCCCGCCTTGTCTGCCCCAGACGCTGCGTGTGTCCCTGTGACACCAGGTGCCAGGATGTCACCTGTGGGAAGCCCAAGGCACAGTACCGCGCCGCTGCAGCCCTGCCCTGACACCCGCAGGGCTGGCGTGGACGGCAGCTGCCCGAGGCGGAGCGCGGTCCTTGTGCTGACCTCTGCACCGTATGTCAGCCTCGGTTACACACCACTCCCACGGACGCCAGCCGTCTCCCCTGCTACCCGCTACCCCGCAGCAGTGCGGCCGGTCTGCCCCGTCTCTGGAGCCCTCACAGTCCCCGCTCCTCACCGACCAGGCCCCATGCTGGGCTGCAGCAGCCCTGACCCAACCGGCTTCCCCGCCCGCCCCACCTTCCTCTCCCCCCCCCCGCCCCTCCTGGTCCCCCAGGACAGGACTGTGTCCCCCTCCGGCCCTGGCCCCACGCTCCCCGCTCCTTCAGGGAGCTTGCCCAACCTGGCCTCCCCCAGGCCCCGTCGGGCGCTGCGCGTGCTCTGGCCCCAAGAGCTGCTGCCTCGGTTTCCTGAAAACTCATGCACTTCCCGGCCGTGACCTCTGCCTGAGCCGCTCGTAGGCAGCTGGAGAAGTTCTCGCAGCACTTTGTTTAAAAAAACCTCAGCTGGCATGGTAGCACATGCCTGTCATCCCAGCATCTGGGAGGCTGAGGCAGGAGGATTGCAGTGAATTTAAAACTAGCCAGCCTAGTGAGACCCTGTGTTGAACAAAAATTTTATCTGGAAGTGATCATACCCCAAAATGCTTTTATACTTCAGGAACCCTAGTCACAGTTACACCCTGCACCTGGGACAGGAAGCTCCACTCAGGTAAGCCCAGGGGTAGAGCTGGGGCCACAGCCAGCCCCAGGCAGAGGTGCAGTCGAAGCACCTGCCGCTGCTCCTCCTTCCCAGCCAGCGAGTACTGGTGTCACCAGGACGCCAGCTGGGCGACTCCCAAGTGACATTCAGGCCAGACCAGCCCACCTGCTGGGGGACATGGGGAGCTCTCACCTGTGTGGAGCTGGCTGGGACCCAAGCTGCTGCCCCACGCCATGCCGTGCCTACTGCCCCTAGCACAGGCAGAGTACCAGGCTCAAGACGCCCGGCAAAGCGTGCAACCCGGGGGTGGCACCCGTCGGAGATGATGCTCTTCACCCTGGAGCGGGTGTTCGTCTCAGACACAAGAACACGACGAAAGACGTGGAGAAAACCGAAGAAAAAGAAAAGCCCAGTGCCTTTCACACTACCTCTGCACAGCAACGCAACAATGCATCTTTCTGCCTGCTTTGTCTTCTGAGACAGAGTCCCGCTACGTAGTCCAGGCTGGCCTCAGACTGGCCTCGGCCTCCCTAACGCTGGGGTCGCAGGTGTGCGCCACTATGAGACAGCTGAGCGCGGGGAAGCGTTCTGGGAAGTCGCACGGGGCCGGGCCCTCGAGCAGTGGGTGCAGAGGAGGACAGCGTCAGGACCGTGGCTGGAGGCGCCTCCGCATGCGCTGGCAGGCGGCCCACAGCCCCCCAGGGACGGGGTTGTACTATAGCTGGTGCCACCTGTCCAGTAACGCCGGGCAGACAGCAGTCACCCAGGACCTCCTGCTCCATGCTTCCTAAATGCTCCCTGTCCCTCCGGCCGGCGCTGCCCGAGCGCCTCTCCCGCACTCTCACGATGCCGCCCACAGAGCTCCGCGGAGACAGGGTCTGCAGCGAGCCGCTTCGCGCCCACCCGTCTCTCAGTAATCTCCCTCCTCTTCACCTCCCAGAATTCGTTCTCGGATCCTGGGGACACGAGCTCGGCTGGGGGTGACCTCCAGCAGGTCGGGAGTCATTACTTCCGTGTCACCACCATGCCCGGCTAAGACAGGGCATCTTAAAATCACAAAACAGACGGACAAGAGGTCGGAAGGGGCCGAGTGGGGTTACTTGAAACTGTGGTTCAGGTTGAACTGAACGGACCCAGCACCCCATCTTCAGGTGCCCCCCACTTCCTGCCGGAGGATGGGCGGGGAACTGGGGCGCTAAGCCAGGGTGGGACTCAACGGGTGCTGCTCCCGCGACCAGAGTCAGGAGCTGCACGTTCAGCCAGGACACCGCCGGCGGCGCCCACAGAACAGGACGGCAGGTGCGGCGACACCACGGCCCTGGAGAGCGACTGTTTTGTTTTTTGAGACAGCGTTTCACCTGTAGGTTTTTTGGTTTGTTTTTGGTACCAGGAATCGAACTCAGGACCTTGCACTTGCCAGGCAGGCACTGTGCCGCTGAGCTACATCCCCAGCTGGAGCACCATCCTTGCATGAGCAGAAGCTTCCGCAAAGGCCTGCCGTGCTCCTTGCACCCCGCTCCGCCGCACGCTCAGCCCTCCTCCCCGGCCTCCGTGTCCCCTCCGCGGGTGTCCAATGTGGCCGTCTCACCCGACACGCACTAGAGGCTTGTGTGCCAAACCCAGACGCGGTCCCTCAGGCCGCCAGCCAACGGCATCAGAGTCTTAACATCTTGCCCAAGGGCAAGGAGTGGCCAGGGTGGAAGTGCTGCGCTCCTAGCTAATCAGATGGCTGAGACAGGAAGCTCTCTAAAGCCAGGCTGGGCAACTTAGCAACACCCTGTCTCAAAATAAGAAACAGAAAGGGCTAGGGATATGGCTTGTGACAGAGCCCTTGTCCAGCGCGAGCCGCCCTGGGTGGGCCTGGTGCCCAGGGCCGCCACAAAACACAGCACAGCAAAACAAAGCAAGGGAAGGAGGAAGGGAGGGTCTCTGTGGGCGGGTGTGCAGCTCAGCTCCCCACCACCAGCACCCCCACCCAGCCGGGGCGCCCTCGGCTCTCACCAGTCGGACCCTGGCAGCCAGGCCCTCGGGCAGCTTGGTCCTCAGCTGATTCGTCTCCTTGAAGGTGGGCGGGAAGCCGCTCAGGAAAGCCAGGTCCTGCATCAGCACCAGCCCCGGGACCTCTCTATCGGTGGTCTAGAGGGGGAGAGGCCAGCTCACCCTCCGCTTCCCGACGCCCCCGAGAGAGCTCAGCCCCGCAGAGGGTGACGGCAGGGGGTGCAGGGCAGCCAGGGCCAGACGACGGCCTGAGACGCCCGACCTTGTCATCCACGCGGGGCGCGGCCAAGAATCACAGCCAACAACGAAATTAAAAATAAGAAGCCTTTTGCACGGCTGCCTCAACGTCCCGAGCCGATTCACAGTATTTACAGCACTTTTGTCAAGCTGTGTTCGTCCTCCCGTTCCGCGCCGCTCCGGCTGCCCGGGTTAAAACGACCGTGGAGAGGAGACGCTCCCAATCAGTTCGGGGCACCGAGGCAGCTGCGTTAAGGTGCTGTTAACAACCCTAATCACCCACAATTGTCCGCCACACCTCACAGTCTAGTCCAGCACTGAAACACACTGAAACCCGCCCCGACGTACCAGGTAGCCCCTCCAGACAGTCTGTCTGCCGCTTCCCTTGAGCAGTCCAGCGTGCGCGTCCTCCACTGCAAGACAGAGCAGCACCGTCACGGCGATTCCACAGCAGCACTCTGAGAGCACGGCACGCACAGTGCAGGGCTCGGGAGAAGCCGTCGGAGGAGACGAAGTGACCCGCTCCGCACCAGAGCGTGGCGCAGGGGACCAGGCAGATGACCGCGGCATCCCATTACCACGGCATGTGGCTGTGTTACACGCGGGACCGCCTCCCCACGCTGGATGTGATCACCACACAGTAATAAAAATAAAAAGTAGAGGCAGGCATGGTTGTGCACACCTGTAATCCCAGCACTCAGGAGGCTGAGGCAGGAGGATTATAGCGAGCTGGAAGCCAGCCCGGGCTAAAAAAGTGAGCTCAAGGCCAGCCTGAGCTGCGTAGTGAAACACTATCTCAAAAGGACAAAAAAATTAAAAATTAAAAAATTAAAAGGTGCAACTATTGTGTATTACCAAAGACATCCATGCAGGCAGCAGAAACGTAATCAAGCTTGTGCTGTCCCCAGGGAGGAGCGGCACTAGCAGAACAGCAGAAATCAGATGCAGAGGCGCACACAGGTATAGCAGAAGGGAACTGTGTGAGCAGAGGTGTGGAGAAGGACATTCTTCAGTTCATCTTTCAGTGCATTGCCTCTGCGGGACTTCGGGCCTGACCGAGCCGCAGGACTGTTTGGTTCTGGAGGCCTAGCAAAAGCACTGGTGGAAAGGAAACGACGGCAGCACCGTGCCCCTGTGGAGAGCCGCGGGACAGCGCTAGGCGCCTTGCTGAGATGTGCCTGAAGGAATGATAGCACGATGGCTGACTAAGCCCAGTCTCCTTCCTGCGGTAACTGAGCTGTACTGTCCTCGCCAATCCCGGTAATTACTCCTCTCATTTGCCCTGCTGCTGCTTTCTGTTTATATCCCAATAAAAGGCTAAGGAGGGTGGTAATCCAGGCTTCGGTGCGAGAGGCTGCAGCCCCCGATCCCATAACTGTCTCTCTCGTTTTTCTTTTCACCCGCGGGCACCTCGTTCTCAGGACCTGTCACCCCAGACGGAAACGGACTGACTATACACTGACAGAGAGAAAACCCCCATGCTCCAGGCAGCCTGTCTGGGATCCATGCAGACGTCCCGGGGCGATTCGGAAGCGGGCGGATCGCACCCAGCAGTGGGAGCGGGGCTTCAGGCCCGGGCCGAGGCGCCCAGCACGCCTGGCACGGGCAGTGGGCCAGAGGCAGGAGGGCTCACATGGCGGGGTCGCACCCAAGGGCCTAGGGGGCTGGTGCTGCAAAGCGTGGCGGGGAGGCAGACGTCGGGGAAGGGCTCCGGGCCACCCTGGAGGCAGCTGCGGCGGGACAGGGCTGCAGCTCAGGGACACGGTGCTCGCCGAGTGTGCGAGGTCCTGGGGCTGAGGCCCTGGTGGCAGCGGCAGGGGCGAGACACACACACACACGTCCACACACATGTGCACACTCTCACGCATGCACATATGCTGGGACAGAAGCTCTGAAACAGTTTGAAAAGATGCAGCAGGTGTGGGGAGAGTGAGTTCATTCCGAAACGCAAAGGACTCTCCCGCTGCCCTCTCCGCGGATACTGCGGCCCCGTGTGGGCGACAGCGCACGGCCCCGGCCCGTGTGCGTGTCCTAACGACACTCTCGAGTCACCCACACGTGACAGGCAATCCGGCTGGACGCTTGACAGGGTGCGCTGTGACCCAGCGGCCCTGCCCCAGGCTAGGATCACAGAGCTGTGCCGCTCTGGTCACCTGGGAACAGGCTAACGGGTCCCAAGCTCCTGACCACGTGGAACAGTGCAGTGAGATAAAATCTGCACACAAAGGCAAGGGCTGGAGCTCGTCCCCAGAAACTGCCAACAAGAGCTTAGACCCGAGGAGGAATCCGAGCACAGGACACAAAGTGTTGCAGAGCTAGGGGCCGTAGGTGACAGCACACCCCCTCATCTGTGGCTGAATTTCCACCCACTTTCCTGCTTCTAGACCAAGGACGGTGACATCCCCAACCGGGTGCAGCAGGAGACCCTGCACCCTGCCTCCGAACGTGCAGCCCACACCACCCACTGCCCTGCTCATAGGGCCTGCTCCTGCTATCATTGTCACCCAACCCTCTGGGAACCTATGCCACATCATGGCACTCTTGAACTGAAGCTCTACCCTCTGCCAACCGCCTGCCCCTTCCTGCCCCAGGGCCTTTGCACTTCCTGCACCTTCCCATCTCAAGCCCCACCTGTCACTACCTTCCTATTCCCCCACCGAGCTTTTCTAGTCTACAAAACACACACACACACACACACACACACACACACACACGGGCGCACTCATTAATGCACGGGTTTGCCTTGTGGAGCCTCTACAAGGGTGAGGCATCTTCAGCACTTCGGACAGCACCGCCAATGCAGGGACTGGGCCCGGATAGGGATTGGAACAGAAGGTGCACTACCGGTGGGCTCTGCAGTGCCGACCACGAACCCAGCCCCGAGCACGCCAGGCAAGCGCTCCGCCACCGGGCCGCACACACAGTCCTGGGCACAGAACGATCGGATCCCGCTGTCACCAACCGCTCAACGCAGGTCAGCCGGAGCGGCCTCGGGTGCAGACGGCTCTGCCCACGGCCCCCTCGCCACAGGAGGACAGCAGGTGCCTCGCCTGGGGCCCATGGCCGAGCCCGAGCGTCCCCCGCTGCCCAGCCAGGCCGGGGTGCCAGCGCCCTGGCTCTGGGGGATGCAAACCTCAGTCCCCAACAGCTGGACACAGGCCTTACCACCCCGCTGGGCTGTGAGCCGGACAACATGAGAACAGCCCTGGTACGGAGCTGAGCACAGGAAACGCGCCGGGATCACTGGCCACAGGATGGCAGGGATCCCACGGCTGCCAGGCCACGGAGGGAGCGCATGCGTGCAGAGGGAGAAGCCACGCAGACCCGCGCTGAGCCTAGGGACGCACACAGGCAGCGCAGCGACAGCCCTTGCACTTCCCGCCGGGGCTTTTAGTATGTGAGACGTTTCTTTAACACCGAACGCTTTCTGTCCACTCAGAATCCTGACGTCGGCGACAGCGTGGTTTCCACGTCCACACAGCACTTACCGTCCCGCGTGCTGTCAAAGACCACCACGGAGACGTTGGTGGAGGGGTTCTTGGGCTTGGCCACGTGGAAGAGGTCGCTGGCTGTGCGGAAGGCGGGGTGCAGGCCTGGCAGGTCCTTCAGGGAGCTGTTGGCTGGCAGCGCGGGGTCCAGGACCAGCATGGGCACCTTGACGCAGTGCGTGAGCAGACACTCGAGCGGCTTCTCGCTGGGGGACACGGCGTGTGACGCAGGTGCAGGGTGTCCCCAAACACTAGGACCCACCACCCAGCCTCACTTGTACAACCTGACCTGGACCGTGTTTTTCTGTAGCCCGTTGTTAAATCACGGTATCTCAGTCTACAAACACCTTATCTAAAATGTGTGAACATTCAGGAGCCAGGTGAGGTGATGGCATCTGCGCTCCCCCCTCGGGAGGCTGAGGCAGGAGGGTCGCCACAGATTCAAGGCTGCCCAGGCTATGTAGTGAGCTCAAAGCCGGCGGAGAGGGCTGCACACAAGCAGGAACACAGAACCCCGCGTGCCCGGGGACAGTGGTGCCGGCTGCGCCTCAGCCTTCACCTCCTGCGCTGGAGTGAGCTCAAGCCTTACCTCTTCTTCGTGGGTGCCGTCATGTTCTTCCCCAGGATTTCTCTGCGGAGAGATGAGCAGAGCGCATTAACACGCAGGCCAGTGCGGGCCACGGCGTGAACGGGGCTCAAGCTGACGATGGTCCTGGTCCCCACCGGAACACGTACGCGGGCCTGCGCCACTGCGTGAGTGCCGGTCATACACGCAAGGCCAGTGTGACCGCAAGGGTCCCAAAGCTATCGCCGCGCCCTGGGAAGGCCCAGGCCCCCACACAGTCTGCTGCGGGATGAGGTGCCGGGACCCAGGCTGGGGTGTCCAATGAACAAGACGCAAAGGGCTGGGGCTCTCTGCCAAAGCTCCTGAGGAGTCAGAGGCCGGAGGAGACCATAAAGACTGGCGCCAAGAAAAATCATTTCAAAAATGAAAACAGCCGGGTGTGCTAGTGTATGCCTATAATCCCAGCATTCAGGAGGCTGAGGCAGGAGGATCTCCTCGAGTTTGAGCCAGTCTGGGCTCCACAATGAGGTTGAGGGCCTCAACTACAGAACAAGACTCTGTCATGAAATGAAGTCTGCTTTACCTCATGGCCTTCTGCTCCTCCTCCATCTGCTCCCGGACCTGCTGTAGCTCCTTGAGCAGCTCAAGGTCCGTGCCATTCACCCAGGTGTACACCACATCGATGGGCACCGGCAGGCAGAGCCTAGGGCAGCGACGGCGAGCCCGTTAGCGCTCTCAAGGACACAAGCGGCCGCTGCGGCTGGCGCTCGGGCACCGCGATGACCGTGTTCTTACAGCGCGTGTGGAGTGGAGTGTGGAGGGGCGCAAGTGGGAGGGGGTCGGGAGCGGGAGCGGGAGGGGACTCCGCAGCGTCACCCGCGCCGGGGTGGGGCGGCGCACGTCAGGGCCCCACGCCTGAGTGAACGCGGAAGCCAAGTGCAAGCTCTGCAGCTCCGGCTGGGCCCGGCAGGCCAAGGCCTCCGGGAGCCGACGCCCCTGTGCACCCCGTGTGGCCTGGGCACCGCCTGCCCTTCACCCCGACACGATGGGGCGGCAAGCGCGGTCAGAGACGCTGCATCAAGCGACAGACAAAACAGGAGAGGGTGCGCTTTGTCCTTTGTCGTCTGAGCAACAAGAACCTGAATCAGAAACTCACAGACAGCAGCCCCTAGCGGGGCGTGGGGGGGGCGCACACCCGGAACCCCTGCCAGGCTGAGGCAGGGGGACAGGAGGACTGCCAGCTCCAGCCCGGCATGGGCAATTTAGGGACTAGGAGGACTGCGTCTCAAAACACAACAGGGCTGGGCATGGTGCGCCGCCTGTCAGGAGTCCAGGGGCGGCCTGGACCGCAGAGCAAGGCCTCGTCTGCAAAAACCGGAAACAAGGAAGTACACAAATCGTTACCAAGGGCCGGGGCCGGGGCCGGGGCTCAGGGAGAAGGCCGCCCCGCCATGCCGCACTGGGATACAGCGCAGCAAGCGCAGCGTCCCGCGCGGGAGGGCCGCCTCGGGTTCTCACACTCGCGCGCGGCCGAGTGAGCGGTCTCGCACGCACGGCGCCCTCCGCGCACCAGCGCCTCCCTCTACAAACCGCGCGGTTCGCAGGCAGAACCGCCGGCAGAATTTCGTTTTCATCTGCAGTCTCTGCGTGGGGTGACAAAGAGACCGCGGCCGTCTCCCCGCACCAACACAAGCCAGGCCCTGTTCCCTGAAATCCAGGGACAGATGAGTTCGCGCACCGAGGCGCCACTGCACTGCCCCGGTACGGGGTCAGCGGCCACTCGGGGGAAGGAGGGGTGGGGCGGAGGCTCGCTTTCTCCGCAGGGGAAGAAGAGGGGGAACCGGCGGCGCTCCACGGCCCGGCTGCACAGGACCGGGCAGGATGGACGGAGCTGAGACCCAGCAGCCACCCCAGGGCCGCCTGCCCGGGAGACCTAGGCCACCAGAGGCCGCGGGTGCCAGCGCTGCCATCAGCCGGCCAGGTCACCTCCGACTGCGGCAGCCGCCTACAGGGGACGTGAGCCCCGCACCCCACACCGGCTACACAGCAGGCCCTGCACCCGCAGCGCTGACCCAGGGCTGCAGTCCTTGGAAGCAGCATCTGCCCACAGGGTGGGGTCCCCAGCAAGGGTCCTGCGGACAGGCCGCTCACTGTCAGGGTAGACGCGGACGCCCCACGCAGACCTCACCGGCGCTGGAAGGACTTCCCCGCCACATTGTCCCTGTAGGAGTCGAACAGGACGTGGTACTGGTCCCGGCTCCACTCCAGCACCACCTGGAACGGAGGAGGAAAGAAGAACCAAGAGTGTAACTTTCACCGTAATCTAAGAACTGATGAAGGAGCCGGGCGTGGTGACGCAGGCCCGTCATCCCAACACCAGGGAGGCTGAGGCAAGAGGATCTCTGGGCTGGAGGCCAGCTGGAAACTTCGCTGAGTTCAAGGCCAGAATGGACCACACAGGGAGACCATGCCTCAAACACACACGTGAATAAATAAATAAATAAATAAATAGGCCCAGCAGGTGGCTGAAGGCGGAGACCGAGCAACTGCGGAGGGCGCAGTCCACGCCTGGGAGAAACGCCAGGAAAGGAGGCCGTGCACGGCCCTCAAGGGGACACCCAAGGCTGTGCAGCACGACGCCCCGGGGAGTGGAAAGGCCAGTCCTGGGGCCCTCTTGGGGCAGCCTGGCTCATAGAGGCACCCCAGATCTCGAAGCCACCCCACACATCGAGGCCCCTGCTCCGTGGCCTCCCATTTCTACCCAGGGCTCACGCCCAAGCTCCACCCACGGCCCCCAGGAGACAGGGAGAAAAACTCCCTGCCCCTCCCACCCCATCCACGCCTTTATTGCTTTTCTGAGACAGGGTCTCACTAGGGAGCCCAGGCTGGCCTGTAACTCACGGTGATCCTCCTGCCTCAGCCTCCAGAATACCGATGCGCCCTCTCTCCAGTGTAGCACCTTCTGAGGTCAGCCCTTCCTCTTAGGTACTTCTCGGCCTGTCTGTGCTAGGGGGCAGGGGCGGGAGCGCCACTGGGCACTCACCAGGCTGGGCCCGTCCCCAGCGGTCGCGCCTGGACGTCAGCCGGCTGCGAGGTAGGCGCTGGCCTGGCCAGCCAGGCAGCGACTTCAGCGCCACCCGTGGGCCCAGCGGCCGCAGATCCGCAGCGCAGGCGTCCCCTCCTTGCCCGGTGAGAATGTGGGGAGCTGCACAGCTGGGACACTGGCAGAGGCGTCCAGGGGCCCGGCAGGGTCAGGCGCAGGTGGGCAGCGGGGAGGGGGGGCGGTCCGTGATCCCTGCCGCGGAGCCTCCGTGAGGGAGGAGACGGCCCCAGTGCCACCACAGCGTGGGTGCGCGGAGCCGACCCCGACGCAGCACCGGAAGACGCGCCAAGCCCGGCTCTTATCAGCAAGGACTGCTTCGAGAGTCTGCGCCTCAGCTTCCGCTTCCGCGGTCACCGGGCCTGGGCCACGCCGAGGCTGCGGAGGAGCGGGGTGGCTCGCCGGGCCTCTCACTCCTGCAAACCGCGGGCAGCACAGCGCTTGGCACACCCGGTCTGCGTTCTACCGCAAGCTGGGAACTAGACCTCCTATTTTCTCTACGGAGCCCAGGCTGGTCTTGAACTCACAGGGACCCTCCTGCCTCAGCCTCCCGAGGGCCACGATGCAGGCATCCGCCACCGCGCCCGGCTGAGCTGTACATTTTCATTTCTGCCTCCCAGAACCCTTCCCGCCTCCGACCGAGGGCCTGGAAGTTTTCCGCAGCAGGCTGGGCTCGGCCGCGCTCTCACTTCAGGGACCCCTGCGCCCCCCCGGCCCCGTGACATTTTCTCACTGACCACTCCGGCTGACTTTCTGGGTGTCCAGCAAGCTGGGCTGGGGACCGGGCAGCCAGGATCCTCACAGCACCCCGCGCCAGGCCATGGCAACAAACTCACGCCTCCGCCTGCGAGACCAGTGGGTGAGACCCCCTCAGCCTGTGCCCTCTGCACCCCCAGCCCTGAGGGCCGAGGCCTGGGGGTGCAGCACCTGCCTGTCATTCCACACTCTGGAGGCTGAGGCAGGAGGATCACAGTGAGCCCAAGGCCAGCCTGAACCACGCAGCAAGACCCTGTCTCAAGAACGGCAAAATAAGTAAATAAAGACAAAGCAGGCCACATGAGTGTCAGTCCCAGCACGGAATCTGTCCTGTGGACACGGGTGTGACCTGGCCTGTGACACTTCTGCAGAATCACTTTTTCCTGCCTGTCCCGTGCTGTGTGAATCACACTCAGGCGCCTGGTCACCCCAAAGATTCGGCATGGGGTCACGAGATGGGGCAGTGGCTTCCGCCAGAGAAACAAAGAGACCAGTGGCCCTGCACCCCGCAGTCACAGGGGTGGCCTGCGGACAGCACCCCGGTCTCAGCGCAGGGAGTGGAGGGGATGGACACTCCCCTGCTGCACTTTCCAATGGCCCAGAGTAAAGCACGGGCCACCACTGAGCTCCCCACCATCCGCAGATAGAGATTTGGGGCCGTCACCAGAGGGCCTCCTGCTTCAGCCTCCTAAGTAGGGAGCCGGGACACATGGCACTCAGGCACACGGGACGCCTCACTGTCCTCTCCTCACTGGGCTCGTCGTAGTCCAGGAACACAAATAACGTCGGTGCCAGTCAGTATTCATTCAACAAACACTAACACCGACAGGCAGGGTACCAACGCGCTGTGCGTCGTGCTCACGTTGGGGGAGTGGAAACAGGGTCTCTCCAGCAGCGCAGGCCTCCAACTCTCGGGATCCTCCCAGTGCTGGGATCACAGGTGAGGCCACCAGACCTGCTTCTGGCTTAGCGGTTTTAAGACATTATCTGTTTCACAAAGAAACTTGCCCTTGTCCACCAAAAAGAAATCACAAAACAGATCAGAGGGGCAGCCACAACCGCAGGGCGCTGGGAAGCACTGGGTCGGAACCGCCCAGGACCGGCCTGGGCCGGCGCAGGGACAAGGGGGGTCTCTTTCCAGCGCAGGCAGTTGCTTTTGGCAGGACCGCACTGAGATAAGGATGAGCAACTAATCACACAAACACCCCCACTGCGGCCAGCTCCTCACCCCGCCCGCGGTGGGTCGCACCCATCCCAAAGACAGGGGCCCAGCAGGAGGCTGAGGCAGGAGGATTGCCGCAATTCAAGTGTGGGCTGCTGAGTTCAAGGCCAGCCTGGACTGCATGGAGAAACCCTGACTCACTCCTCCCTCCCCAAAAAAGGAAGCCAAAGGGCCAAGATAAGGGACAGAAAACCGGTGAGCCCAAGGGGCGGAGGAGAGGCCCGGGAGGGCCAGTCTCCGGGGACCTAGCTGACCTCCGTGAAAAGCTGGCGTCCTGGCGTCCGAGTTTAGTTCCCACAGCAAGCGCACGCGCGACCCGCTCCCGGCACAGCCCTGAAACCCGAAGACCCCACACCGCCCGCGGCCCTGGCCCGGGCAGGCGGCGATGCGACCTAGCGGACTCCGTGGCGGGGCGAGGAGCCGCCGCACGGTTCCCGGGCCACCTTCCCACCGGGGCAAGTCACGGCCCCGCGGGAAAGCCCGAGCTTGAGGGAGAAGGCCACGCGGCCGCAGGCTCGAGCGGCCCCGCGCTCGTGTGCACAGAGGGCAGCTGAACAGCGATGCCCCCGAGGTCACTTCTGTCCCCAGAGCCTGACACGCCGCTCCAGCCAGGCGCGGGGCGCAGGCCTGCGATGCCAGCGCTCGGAGGCTGAGGCAGGAGGATCGCCAAGTTCAAGGTTTGCCTGAACTGCACAGGGAGACCTTGTCTCAGATAAATAAAAGCTACGAGATCGTTAAAAAGGAGGCGGCGGCGCCGGCTTGGCGGCGAGCTCAGCACACCCGTGACCCGGCGTCCGCGACAGCCACCTGCCGCCCTGCGCCAGCGCCTGCCCCGTCCCGAGCACTCCCCGTGGGCGCCGCACGC